CTGACTGACTGACTGACTGACTGACTGACTGACTGACTGAACATTAAGGATGATACAAGCTACGGCAGCTACGACTCTAAGCCCCTCAAAAAGATGTAAAGTTCTTGCACCCTGCAAACTTTAAATTCAATTTTTGGTTTACCGAAGGCATATAGTAAACTATAATTCACCAGTGCTTTCTCTTTTGAAACATATGATCACTTCACGATAAAATTTTATAGACAGTACACTTAACCTCAGTAAACTGGACTTCACATCCGATTTTTGGTAAGTTGTTATTGACTACTGACAAATGTTTGAGCAATGCGTTCTGTCTTTTTTATCCTGAGCATCCATCGGCCTTAGTCTATAGAAGTTATTGAGGTTAGACGCCCATAAACATAACAATGACACATGTAGTGATAAAAGTATTGCGGTTGATGTTGGTTTGTCTCCCGCAGATGCCATTGGGAAAGGCCGAGCGTAATGATTTATGTTCGCTTATTGTCTGTGAATAAGAACCGTACATTAGCGTTACTTCTTAATTGACAATAATGAATCTATCGAGGTGCTTTGCTTCGTTTATTACTTTACTTCTTTTGCATCTCTCAACTTTACCCACCTCCCCCTTCCCTACTTCCGGAACCGAGCCAGCTTTTATCCACACATTATATCCCACTGACTACAGGCCAATTACCGCACTTATGTGACAATACCGGATCGTAAGGGTATAATGGGCAAAATGGCATAGATAAGTAAGTACATTCCAGATCGTCCACGTTAGAACCGATTACACAACAATCGATATTGGTCTTCAGTGTATATATACGGAAGATTTGGAACTTTTCCATTATTCGGTATTCGGAAAACGGTTGTAGTCAGGAGGCTTTCGATTGAAGTTAACAGATAGTTGACTGTGTCCCCCTTCGTTGCTGGTGGCATACAATGAAAACGACACCTGAACAAAAATGAATAAGCAATTCGCATCAGCCCTGATATGAGCTGATTCGTACAGTGATAACACGCGCATTCTACGCGATACACGCGGAGTTCAAAGCTCGGACGGAACGGTTGATATGCACTGCTGATGAGTTATGAGAAGAGGAAAACTGGAATCTATTCCTTCGAAGTGCATGATTGACTGGAAGACATGAGGAATGTGCGTGGGTGGGTGGGGAAGTATGAATGATTGGCAGTTCCAATCAATCAATTGTATTTGTGGAAGTTAAATGATCTATAGCATATCGTAATAGCGATAGGAGTACTTTCTGATATTTGTGAAATCACTTATTCTCACCCGGGAGTCGAAAGTCATTTTCAGCTTCTGTCCAATGCACCATGCGCTCTTTCGATCGTTGATGTGTTTCGTATGCTTCCTGATTAGCACACTGATTTATACACAAAATAGGAATGGATAGCGAGAAAACTCTGACTGAGATGCTCCAAAAGCTCTTCTGTTCAGATGTTATACAACCCATCACGAAAGTGATGCCGACTAATTTAAGCCGCCGATAACTTTCTGACTCCAATCGGAACCAGGTACATTTTTTCAGAACCTCAATAACGTAAATGGGGTTCTAGGTGTCACACTGTTTGAATTATACGGGGTCTGTTACAATGCTAGGCTATTCGTACCGAATTGACTTGTGTGATCTACCGAGTGCGAATGACTTCGGAGTCTTGAAGATTCTATCGATAATCCCACAGAACGGCTTGCAAGTAACTGTGAGGTAAATGTGAATTAAAAACGAACGAACGAATGGTGCTGATGGACGCAGGTGGACATCCTTCATCAGAAAGCATGAATAGAAAATAGAAAAAATCCAGTACCAGATATTTCATTTGTTTTGAATAACTTGGTTTCCATTGAAGCGGTTATGGCACCGAAATAGGCATTAGGTCCAGTATGCACGATCTGTAGTCCGAATTTTTAACGGTGCCCTACTTTTTCGACATCGTTATTGCCAAAGCCGATGTAGAACATGGTGGACACCATGTACACACTTTTCTGTGTCCACCCTCACATATAGCAATAGAATGGAACATCATTTGGAACTGAACTTTGGTCATTGGGTTTGAAATAGAGCCGCAAGGAAAGTCCAGTCTCTTTTTGAATAAATAGACACCCGGAACTAAAAAGGATCTGAATGTCGAGTGCACTGGTATAGTATTAATCTGAAGGCGTTCTAAATAATGTAAATTTCTTCGATGCCTG